AACATCAGCCTGCCTGACCGGTGGAGGCGCCGAAACTCCAGACGCGTTTTGAGCTCCAGAGTCGCTAAGCAGGACTTGAACCGAACGTGTGACCCCACCAATGGATAGCTCTCCGAACGAGGAATCCAATTGTGGGGTCACACGTTCGGTTCGAGTCCCATTTAACGACTCTGGAGCTCAAAACGCGTTCGAGATTTTGTCCGCTTCCACGGGTCTTCCGGCCCGTTGTGCTGTGCCGAGCCCTGCCCGCCTGGACCCCCGGCCTCGCTGGCTGCCTTCCGCGTCCGTTCGTATTCTCCCATTTCCGGCATTAAATTAAAGTTGTGATGGGAACGCGCTGCTGATTGGCGAAACGCCGGAATGGCAATGATTAGCAAACCGACTGCGCAGCCGGCTAACACGGCCAATCAACAGCTTTCTACACTACGGAACGAGAGGGACGGGCCTTTTCGGAAGTCGGTGAACCGCAGCAAAAAGCCTATGAATCATCGCACAGTGGGCCAGAAGACCGGTGGAGGCGGTCAAAATCCCGTACGCGTTTTGAGCTCCAAGTCGCTAAATTGGACTTGAACCGCACGTGTGACCCCACAAATGGATTGCTCGTTCGGAGAGCAATCCGTCAGTGGGGTCACACGTTCGGTTCGAGACCCGTTTAGCGACTCTGGAGCTCAAAACGCGTCTATAGTTTTGGCCGCCTCCACCGGTCTTTGGCCCACTGTGCAGCGACCGTAGCGTAATCTACCGCCGCGGAACGGCACCCACGGGCCGGTATGGCTAAGACGGTAAATGTACTGGCGGGGATTACCGCGTTTCCTGAGGGCGTCCAATTGGTAGGCCGTCTGGGATGCGCCTGGGACGGGCTCACACACACACACTCACTCAGCCTCATACACTCACCCGCACACACACAGACACTCACAGACACACACCCAAACGCGCAGACACACCAACTGAAACACACGCAGACACACGCCGACACATTCACACACACACACACACACCCACACACACCCACACCCACACACACACACACACACACACACACACACACACACACACACACACAGATAGACGGACACACAGACCTGTTATGCGTGCGGCTCGGTTATGGCTTCTGGCGGGGAATCCAAATGCACGCTCGGGGGTCGTTTCCAAACGCAGCCCTCGGGAAGGAAAGGGGGGAGGGGAGGGGGAGGGGAGGGGGAGGGGAGGGGGAGGGGAGGGGGAGGGGAGGGGAGGGGGGGGGAGGGGAGGGGGGAGGGGGCACAGAGAGAGCGGGTGCATGAACACGGGCGTCGGCAAACGGTGCGGCTCGGCCCGGCCGGTCTCATGGACTGTCGATTCCCAGCAGTGACATGGACGTGCCATGCATCGACATATTCCCACCATGAGCAGCGGTGGTTCTGGAGCAAGCTGCACTCGCGGAGTTTCGGAACAACGGTTCAAATACTGGTGCAGCCACCGCCAAAATTTGAACCAAATTTTGCCAGACAGTTTGCCTGTTTGTTTTTGCCTGCTGGTTTTTTTTTAGAGTTACTTCATCGAAAACTCAAAGGTGAGAAATTAAGCCGTCCTAGAGGCCAGAAAAAAAATATCACCGCTGTGTGGTGAGAATCAAAATTCTCACCACATTAGCGGTGAGAATCAGAATTCTCGGCATGAAGTGGTGAGAAATTCTTAACCCGTTATATGGCTTGCAAGAACAATTCATGCCAAAATTTTGTGAGGAGTTTGATTCTCAACAAAAGACGGTGAGAAATTTTTCTCGCGAAAGTTGGGTCGTGATCCTCACCCTTCGGTTTCAGTGTTTACGCTTTGCGGCCCACCCACACTGGTCGATGATGTACGTACTTCCGTGTTGACATTGACAACATGCACTGACGGCTACGAGCAAATTCGGAGAACGCCGAACTTTCCAGAACACCTGCGAGTGTGCCGGAGTCCTCCTAAATCCCCCCCCCCCAAAAAAACCCTATTGATGACGTAGAAAATTGTATGTTTTTTACAAGGTAGTTTAAGCACACATATTCATGCATATATGGTCCGTACACTGTGAAAATTTGAGTTGCCACTTGATGACAATTTCGAGGCTAATTTCTTACAGCGATGTCATCAAAATAAATGATGACATTGTTGTCACACCCATGCAATAAGTATAGGAACTTTGATGAAAATGTCACGAATTTGTGATGAGATTGTCATTATTTGACGTTTTTGTCATAAAGTGAAAACAAATTTTCACAGTGTACACCCGCGTGGTGAGAACGGTTCCTGGTGTTACCAGAATCTTCCTGGAAGTCGGCCATTACGTGGGGAAGCCAGGAGCTGGCTGTGCCCTGTACTTTACGGAGTGATTCTTGGCTATGATGAGACTGTACCTTGGCATGTGCTCACAAAGCGCGGTAGGGTTTTGGCAGGGAGTGTACCTAGGCCGGAGGCTGGGACCGCTTGCCGGGGCGGACTGATCACAGTGCTGTGCGCAATGAGTCCCGAGTGATTACGTGATCTGCGTTCCAGGCCGGGGGCCGCTCCTCTGGCGGCCCTCTGGCCGTGAGGATGTCCGTCTGGGCCGCATGCAGTCGACATCGCCTCGCGCACAGTGGGCCAGAAGACCGGTGGACGCGGTCAAAGCCTCGGACGCGTTTTGAGCTCCAGAGTCGCTAAACAGGCCTCGAAGCGAGCGTGTGTGACCCCACCAATGGATTCCTCTCCGAATGAGGAATCCATTGGTGGGGTCACACGTCCGGTTAGAGTCCCGCTTAGCGACTCTGGAGCTCAAAACGTATCCGGGGTTTTGACCGCTTCCACCGGTCGTCTGGCCCACTGTGCTGCGAGCCCACGGCCTGGGGAAGGCGAAATTAATTGGCTTTTGGAGGGCGTGTCTCATTCCTCTGCTGCATTTTGCAAAAGCAGCGAACGCGCATCCCTTGATGGCTTCGTGCGCCGCGGCAGTTCACACCGTGACATCCGGGACGGGCAGTATCGCGGCGAGCAGGAGGGGAGGGGGAGGAGAGGGAGGGAGGGGAGGTACACAGACCGTTCCATAAAGAGGCAAGCGACTTGACAAACAGGCAGCAGCCACGGCGGTACTAATGCTTTACGTGCAACGCTGCACGGTGGGCTAGAAGACCGACGGAGGCGGACAAAACTCTAGATGCGTTTTGAGCTCCAGAGTCGCTAAATGGGACTCGAACCGAGCGTGTGACCCCACCAATGGATTCCTCGTTCGGAGAGCAATCCATTGGTGGGGTCACACGTTCGGTTCGAGTCCCATTTAGCGACTCTGGAGCTCAAAACGCGTCCAGAGTTTTGGCTGCCTCCACCGGTCTTCTAGCCCACTGTGCGCTGCTGCTTTCGCCATCCCCTCGGCAGGGACGGCTTAAAAAACACGAAAGCGACACTGGAAGGATAACCGTGTGCATTGCACTGCTAGGAAGACAGATGAAGTTGAGGGGTCGTCCACATACTGCGTAACGTCTTCTGTCTCTCTCGCACTCACTGGAAGTCCAAAGGGAGAAATCAGGACAGAGCTGTGAAAAACGTTACGCAGTAAATAGACGATCCACATGCGTGGGTCTTAAAAGTCTTTAAAAAAAAATCGCTGAAAAGGATTGTAAATTGTTTTGTTAGATAGACACTATATGATTTCGTACAAATTATGTACGAGACATCACAGGTTTTCTTTTGCTCACGCCAAATTTTCGTACAAATTTGTACGCGATTTTGCACAAAAATGGGGAAATATGTGCAGTTTCTCGTTCGAAATTTAAACGAAAAGTTCGTGTGCACAGTAAACTGTGATGTCCCGTACAAAATTGTACATAACATTACGTGTGTATCAGTAAGCGCCGCTGCGCGAGTACTTCGGGACGGCCTGTCTCTTCTTGCGGCGCATTAGCGCTCTTGTTGCAAATGCCTGCAAATGCCTGCAAATGCAGGGCGTTGATTGCGCGACACATGAAGTCCATTTGCCGCTCGGCCTGCGCCGTGCGCCCCGTCAACGTCAGTGACAGGGACACCTTGAAAAACAGTGACCTCCCTACCTCAACAATCTGTATTTCATCATGTCAGTGTGTCCTGGAGCACGCGTGTGACCCCACCAATGGATTCGTCGTTCGGAGGGCAATCCATTGGTGGGGTCACACGTTCGGTCGACCGAGTCCCATTTAGCGACTCTGGAGCTCAAAACGCGTCTGGGGCACGGTAAAAACTTTGTCGTGTTTTACAAGGACCGGTCACCTCAGCTAAGGGTCTTGGCCCCTGGTCCTTAGCGAGACCTCTCTGGCTAAGGTAGCTCCTTAGCCAAGCTTTTGTTTACATGTCGGCCATGTTGAGCCTATAACCTAATTACCGATGCTTCACACTCAACAGACGAATTTAACCGACTCTATGTAGTTAGAGTTTCATAAAATACAAAGGTAAAATGTGCTATTTTTCCATTTCAAGTGCTCGTTTGCCTCTGGATGATCTGGTTCATTCACGTCCGTGAAATATGTGGTCGGCTGAGGGAGCGCCGTAGCCTAAACGTAATCCAAATTTCTTTCAGCAATCCTTCCTTCTTTTTAATAAGCGAGTACAGAACCGGGTTCTGCGTTAAATTTTACGTGAAGAACCATGTTGCGTTGTGATTTATTAGTTTATTTTCTGAATTCCTACAATTGGGAAAATGTGAGGTTAAAAATGGCGGACGTGAAAACGAACGCGCTGCGCTAGTTTGGCTAAGAAGCTACACGGCAAAAGTACCGCCTGGGATTCCCAGGCGGTGCCTGGAAAATAGGCCCTTTTCCCCATGATGCGCCTGGGAATCCCAGGCGGTACTTTTGCCGTGTACCTTAGTCAGAGGGGTCTCCCTAAGGACCAGGGGCCAAGACCCTTAGCTGAGGTGACCGGTCCTTGTAAAACACGACAAAGTTTTTACCGTGGGGTTTCGACCGCCTCCGCCGGTCTTCTTGCCCACTGTGTTTCCAGAGAGAGTCTGACAGTGTGTGTGTGCCCGGCAGGCTATGACGCGGTGGAGCCCGAGGCGGTGGGCGAGCAGACGCAACTGTCGTTCCGCTCCACCTGCCAGACGGCCCTGGACGCGTGCTACCAGAAGTTCGCCTGCAACCGCGCGCTCAAGCCCGTGCTGCGCCACTGCTCGGACTTCTCCCGCTGCTCGCAGCCGCAGTGCCTGGAGTCGCTGCAGCAGTTCTACCGCACCATCGACGTCAACAACTCCGTGGACATCGCATTCTGCCAGTGCAAGTGAGTAAAGGACTCCAAGACCACACTTTTCGAGGGGGAAACGACTTCGGTTATCCGATGTACAGCAAATTGGTTATCCGCTATCCGGATAACCAGAAATTTTGAAGTAATCCGGGGAAATTCCGAGGTAATCCGGGGTAATCCGGCGTAATCCAATGGTAATCCTGGAAATTTTTCGATGTAATCCGGAGGTAATCCACGGGTTATCCGGGGTTATCCCTTTCCGATGTGCACAAAATTTCTCAGTCGTTTCCCCCTCAACACTTTTAGAAACAACTGAAATTTTTTCAACATCAAAAAGAGGTGTTTTGACAACACTTCATACGTTTTGAAAACTTTGAAAGTGAGGTTTTCTTGAACTCTTAATTTTCTGAACACTTAAGAAATATATTTAAATTCTTAATAACATTTTTAAAAGCCAGTGTTTTCAAACACTCTTTTAAAAAGTTTTGGGGGGCAAAGCTTTTACCCTTTACTGTAATAATTTAATTTTCGGAACTCTAAACAAAAATTTGACCTCTTATTAACGTTTAAATAAGCCAATGTTTTCAAACACTCTTTTTAAGGGGGGACCCTGGTGAAAAAATGACCAAAATTGCCAAAAATAGTATTTTCAAAGTTCATAGTTAAAAATGTGCATAGAAGGTTTCAGATTCAACAGGTTGAACACCTTTAAACTATGTGGGTAGTTCCTTCATCATTTGGAAAGAAATAACATTGAGATCAGTTGTCGTTGGCTTATACGCTCAACTTCACAGCTTTGCTCAGTCGACAAAAAATTTTGTCGTAGAAAGACTTCCTGCGTTCCTGGTTGACACCTACATGAGTCGTCTTGCATGGACTCTATTCATTGATGACTTATCGACAAATTTTAGTGACGGAATCTTGATATCAGCCCTACTTTTTTTAACACGCACCTAAAAGTTTCAAAAAAAGGCAAAAAATTCAATTTTTTTCAATGTTAAAATTTGAAAATTGATATCTCAGGACAGAAGATGAAATTGAAAATTCCGTCACTAAAATCTCTTCTATACATCTTAAGGATAACCCAAAAAATTTTTGAAGACTTTCCGTTCCAATGAAAGACGCAGGAAGATTTTTCCCCAACGCTCTAAAAAACACTAAAAAGCCACTTTTCTCAGAGACCGTTCAACATTTTGGGTTGAATTTTGTTTTATGAACTCACCATAATGAACCTAATAATCAAGCAAAGTTTCAACTTTCTGGGATTATTTTAAAGCCTACTTGAAAGTTTCACCAGGGTCCCCCCTTAAAAGTTCTGGGGACCAAATTTTCTACCTTTTACCGTAAGAAATGAATTGGAAATTTACAAAGGCACTTCTAGTGAAGTGGCAGTGAGCAGCGTCCCGTCCGCCTGGACTGGTCTTCTGCTCCGACGCCGGGCGACATGTTGATGTGGAGGCGGGGCCAGCTGGTGCGTGGCAGTGGGACGGGGAGAGAGAGAGAGAGAGAGAGAGAGAGAGAGAGAGAGAGAGAGAGAGAGAGAGACGCAGGGAGGGGTGGCACCAAAATAAGCATCATGTCGATTCGCTACCCACCCTCGCGACGCGCTTCGCCAGGCCGAGTCCGAACGGCGTCGCTCTGTCTCTCTCGCACTCGTGGGGCGTCCCGTAGGGGTGCGAGAGAGACAGAGCGACGAAGCGTGGCCTCAGCGACGGGGGAGGGACAGATGCGTCCCGCCAGAGTCCTGCCGGGGGGAGGGCTATTTCCGAGGCAGCAGGCTGAAGAGTGTTTCCGTCTCTCTCGCACTCACGGAGCGCCCCGCAGGGGTGCGAGAGAGACGGAGCGACGAAGGCGGAGTCCGGAACCACTCTGCAGCCCCGAGTCCCTCGCCTTGTTTTATTCGGAAAGGCTGGCTGACCAAGTGACTACACGACCGGGCGATTGAAAGACGCGACGCGGACTGATTCCGAGAGTCGTCGCTCTGTCCCTCTCGCACCCGTACGGGACGCCCCATGAGTGCGAGAGAGACAGAGCGACGACTCTCGGAATAAGGTCTGCTCGGCTCACAGTGGTGCGACCGAGGGGGCAAACACTCCAGTGAACCTTGTACAGACTACTCCCTATTACGGGGTATTACACTTGTATTACGCATGTATTACGCCTCAATTTCATTGAAAAATGACATTTTTTGATAAGTATGGTCCCAAAATGTATTGCTATTACGCGTATTACGGCGTAATACCCGACTTTTGTGTACAGGGTATTACGCAAGTGTTTACCCCCTCGGGTGCGACTCCCCCTCGAGGAATGGACAAATGAACTGATGAACACGTGAGCACGCTGGGAAAAGAGCAGTTGAGGCTGACGCGTCGTTAGACGGTGTCTCTTGTCATTGGATTGATGTTGCTCATGGTGTCTCAGAGTAATTGAATCTATCTCCGGAGGGCGGCAGAGAGAGAGAGAGAGAGAGAGAGAGAGAGAGAGAGAGAGAGGGGAGAGAGAGAGAGAGAGAGAGAGAGAGAGGGAGGGGGGGGGGGGGGGGGGGGGAGAGAGAGGAGGGGAGAGGGGGGGGGGGAGAGGGGGGGGGAGAGGAGAGGGGAGGAGAGAGGGGGGGAGAGGGGGAGAGAGGAGGGGGAGAAAAGAAAGAAAGAGGGGAGGGGAGGGATGGGAGAGGAGGAGAGAGAGAGGGGGAGAGAGGGGGAGAGAAGAGAGGAGGAGAAGAGAGAGAGAGAGAGAGAGAGAGAGAGAGTAACAGGAAAGGCTGCTCGTCTGTCTGCCTTGGCGGCTGTCAACGCCCAAGCACCAGCAGTCAGCTCGCACTATGTGTCACTCCACTGCGATGAGTCCATCGAGCTCGAGTCCAGTGAAGCCTCACTCCCTATCACACACTCCCTTGGGTTATTTTTCCCCGCAGACGTTTACTTAGTTTCCGTGCAATTATGTCCGGGCTCGTTTCTTCCACGTCGGGGTTTCCCGCGCTTTTCCTTCGTTTTTTTTTGTTTCTTTTTCTGCTTTTTTTTCTGTGGGAAAGGTAGATCGGGTTTGGGGGGAGAAGGTGAGTGAAGCAGTGCTTCCAGCTGGGAGTGGCGACTCGGCGTGTACAGTGTACCTGCCACGCCGTACCGGTCCACTG